CCAGGTTGGATGAGCCTTGAGCAACCTGCTCTGGTGGGAGGTGTCCCTGCCCAGGGCAGGGGGTTGGGGCTGGATCATCTCTAAGCTCCATTCCAACCCCTTAACAATCTATGAATATTTTCATACATACATTGAGCTTCTCTACCTATATTATATTTGAAACCTTTTCAGTAGCTTCTTTTATCCTGAGCTGGTTTCATGGTGAGGTCTCTTTGCATTTTGGTCTGTGCCACTGTTTAATAAATGCCCTTTTATTCTCAGACTGCAGCCGGGGAATGGTCTCGGCTGGGATTGAGGCTTCTCCAACCCCCATTGCCTGGTGCTGACTTGTGGGGGAGCACAGTGAGGGCATTTCACAGGCATCCAGTCAGCTGAAACCCAGCTCAGCAAGCAGCACACTGAGCAATAACCTCCTCAGGCTGAAGTCATAGTGCTTGAAGAAATATGACCCTGTGGGACAACCCTGTGTTCTGATCTACTCCATTAGTGAACAAGTGGCCAGCCAATGCTCCTGGAAGGATAATTACCCACCCATCAAGGCACACAGGCATGTCTGTCCCTGAAGTCAAGGGGGCAAACATCCCTACAGATGAGGCAGACTGAGTATTTTTAGCCATGTGATGGCTGTATCAGGGAATGGTTTCCTCTGGAGAGAGCTGCCAGCAACTTTATCCCTGCTTTTGTGTGTTGTTTTCCTTGTAAATCAGCTCTCTCCCAGAAAACATTATACTAACGTGACCAGTCCCACATATTCAACAACAAAAACTCCTCAAGAGTCTTACCCAGACATTCTCCTCCTCTATCTGAGCAGCTGAGTAAACTCGAAGAAATAACTAATGACTTGCATACACATAACACAGGAAAATATTTGGGTTTGAATAAATCCCCAGAACACTGTAACCCTCAGTGCTTTACATTACAATGACTTTCAGCCCTTAATGAGGTATTTCTGTCAGCTGAAATGAAGGATGCCAGCAAGCAAACAAACACCATGTCCTGCACACCTACAACACTGTGCATTCCCCATGTGGGCCACACAATTCCCACCCTGCAGAGAGGCTTTGAGCTTTGGAAGGACAATGCCAAGTCAATGTGTTGGCAAACCTACACAGGCTCTGTGCCTTAACACCCCCAAAGCACCCCAACATCTCCCCGCAACCAAAATCTGGTATTAAATACTGCTCTGTGGGCACATACAGAGCAGCAGTGTCAGCAGAGATGACCCAATGAGGGAAATGGGGAACAAATGGCTGTTACTAGAGATGTCAATCCTTGTAGAGTTGGACCAGCAGGAAAATGTGTCCCTCATGAAGTCACAGCACATGGGTCTCAACATCCAGAGAATTCCAACTCAATCAGCATCCAACAAGAAGGAAAACTCCAGTGTTTGACAAGTGTGGGTGATCTCCACTTCAGGCTGAAGAGTTTGCTGTTACACAGTGGCAAATGTACTCTTTACTTTGAAGCTCCTACAAAGTCCAAAGTAAACTCATGCCATTTTTCCCCCTAACTCTGAACTTGATTAAGCTGATTCCTGCTTGTGTAGGGCTATGCCTGGGAGGCTTCTGTTTTCCTGAAGTAACATTTTCCCGTACAGTCTATTTTCTACCACAATGACTGGATTGTAGAGCTGCAATGAATGTCAGAATTGTTTGCTAGATACATTATCAGATACCTTCTTTCCTCAGGCCTGGAAAAGGAGAAATTAGGTTTACAACAGAGATCACTTTTGCTCTTCTGAAGCAAACATTTCATATCATATAAAACAGTGATTTGCATTGTGCATTTCCTTTACTAGGTCTAGTCCTAACCTGATCGATACAAAAGAATTTCCCCCTCAAATTGCCACATATTTGTCCTGCAGATTTAGAAAATTCTACTTAGAGCAAATGAAAACAAGTGGAAATAAACCTTTCACACACCCACAAGACTTTTGGAATCGTGTACTGCTGGAGCTGCTCATGAGCCAGGGGAGGTGAGGATGCAGCAGGTTGGTGTTGTACCCCATCCCTGAAGATGGTCAGAAGAAGTGAGAGCAAACCAGGTCAATTAAGAAGTGTTGTGCCCTAGTCAGCATGTCAATGGAGGTGCCAAAGGGCAGAAACTCACCTGAAGCCTGTACTGCTCATCAAATGAAATACTTACATCGTTCATTTCCTCATGAGGACCACCTGGGTGCCATGAATTTTAAGGAGGATCAGCTTTTCTGCTTGATATTCCCAGCCAGAAAGTGAGAAGCATGTCAGATGTACCTATATATTTACATATGTACACACAGTTGTATGGGTATGGAGGAGAGATATATTGTGGCAGTTAGATTAAGCCATCTCCCTTGAATTCCTGGGCAACCTACAGAACAAATGCCTGATTGCTATATGAAATACTCTTTCACTTCTCACAAAGAAGATCCTGTGTCTTCCACTCTGCCAGAGAAGATGGGGGAGAAGTTTTGGGGTTCTCTTCTGGTGGCACTAGATGTCAGTCCCACACTAGGGGACATCTCTGATCCATGCAGTGAGTATCTTGCTGTGTCCTCCATGGATCCTGAATACCAAATGTCTCCTCCATGCCAAAACATCTTGCTGTGGCTCTCAGGTGAGACTACAAGCAGCAGTCTTAAAGGTCTAAAAAGTCTTAAAGGTATACAGTAAAGCAGGTTTAAATGTCTAGAGTATTTCTCTGTATGCAGGAAATAATCCTCCTGAAGGGCACAGACTTGATGAACCAAAGCTACATTTGTCTGAAGTCAAGAAATCAGGGGAGAAATGCTCAGTTCCTCCAGAAATCAATGGGGATTAGGACACCGATCTGTACAGGAAATGTCTCTAATTGTTGCAGTGAGCTAGAACTGGATAAAAGCTTGGAAGATAATCCTTCAGGTTCAGCCTAGCAGACTCTGTGTGTGGCTATGATTTATTGCTCTGTGGTGCAGACCCAGAATCCACCAGAGAGAGCAAAGCTCTCCTGTTTGAGGCAGCCACATGAGCAAGATGGCTCAATGAACACTCGGGATAGCAGATCTACCACACAGCTGAGCTGTGAAGCTTGGAGGATGCTCCTTGTAGTCCCTTTGACAAGTTCTACTTGGAGTCATGTGCTGTCCAGCCTTGACTTTGGTTTCCAGTACAGCATTACTTGCTTGGATACAATGAGATTTTCTGGGGAAGAGCCCTAGCAGTTTCTTCCTCACAGCCAGCACTGCCTTACCTTTCATGTCCTCTCAAATTGTACTGAGCTAATGGATGAGTCTTTGAAGGTTTCTATCTGGAATGCAATATATTTGTTCAATAGGTCTCTGTGAACAAAACATCATTATTCCTACATAAACTGGGAAGCTGAAACACAAAAAGGCACAATAATCCAACAGAGTACAAAATACAACCAGGTTCCTCGTGTCCAGCACAGGTCACACAGCTGGAGGCTATCTCAGTGGCCAAAGCTCAGCTCACAAACATCCTTCTTTCCCAAAAACCTGACCTGACATCTCAGGCTAGAGTAGAAAAATAAAGCACAGATATCAAAGGCCAAATTCCAGCCTCATTCAAACACACTCAATCCAGTGTTTGTGCACCAGAGGTTAACACTTGCAGTGATTTTTACAGGCAATCCTTATTACCATAGGATTTGAGGACACAAAAGACTTCTCAAGCAGTTTCCATCACTGTGTTAGATTTAAGAGCCCCAAATAAAAACACAGCAGTTGGATCAATATTATACTCATACTTTATTCCATAAATAAACTCCATTGGTTTGTAAGCTGCTTGTTTTTACTTCCCAAATGTACAAATAAAGATTGAAATTTTTTTTTTTTGGGGGGGGAGGAAACATCACAGATGGTTTGAGTTCTGCAGTTTTGATGCAAACATATTTCTTGGCACCACTCCTTAATATGCCATTTCTATAAATACTTAATGCTCACAGAAGTGGAGAAAAATGTATATTACAATGAAAAAAAATGTTATAAACAAATGTTTAAATATTGCTTTTTAAGGGGTAAACTTGCTAGGTAAGTTGACTTTATGAACAGGAATTGAGTTGTTCAGAAAGCTGAAATATTGGTCCCTTTTGGTGTGTTAAGTGTGAATGTGAAACTGCTGCTGCTGTGATTCTGTGCTAATGCTATTTCAGCTAGTTTCTAAACATAACAAATAACAATATTCACTGTGCTTTAATTCAAGGATTTAGCTCACAGGAAATCAATTAATAGAATACTTCAGAGAAATGAGTTATAAACCCTGTTCTAGTGCTACAGACAAGTACAGTTTTTATAAGATTAAGATAAATAATACCATTGTAATTCAGTATTTGCATTAAAAAAGCCTTAAAATGATTTCTTCTGGGTAACCTGACCAAAAGGTGATGCTCTCAACAGCTGTGTTCCCTTTTAGGCTGTTTCTGATGACTTGAAAGATGCCTTAAAATTTTCAGTTGAAATATAAATGATCTTTCTTTCTACATAGAGCCAAAGATAAGGAAAATACCACCAGGTAATTGAGATAGCAGTTAATTTTATGGCTTATCCAGCAGTCAAAGGCATTCAAGATCCAATTAGGATGAGGGGCAAGAGGCTCCTTTTGTCATTCTGTGTTTCTGTGAAGGAGCTGGTCCAGTAATTGCTAGAAAAAAAAAGCAATGCAAAACAGCTTTAAGATACTGTTAAAATACATGAGGTGGGAGAAAACTTCAGTGATAAGGTAGGTGAGATGCTATTGGCATCTCAGACTTCAAATCTGCTGGGTACATTGCTCCAGAAAATGAGCAAACACAGCAAGTTTTGCCATCCTGGCCAGGAAGGGGGTGGTTAGGTGGAGGAAGAGAGCACTTAAGCAAGGAAAAACTTGTGTGCAACGTGGAGCTGATTATCTGGGAAAGCCTCCAATCTGCACCTGCAGCTTCCCACCACAACTAATTCCTCAGTTTATAAAACCAAACCCTGGGCTGCTTGTTCTAGCATGGGCCTTGGAGCAACCTGGGCTGGTGGAAGGTGTTCCTGCCCATGGCAGGGAGTGGAAGGAGATGAGCTTTAAGCTGCTTCCCAACCCAAACTACTGTGATTCTATGAAGGTTCAGCTGTTAATTCAAGTTTAGAGAAATGCCTCAACCCAAGAATAAGCTTTCAACTCATCCTTTGCCCTCAGGGTTTGCACATGGTAAACAGAGTCTCCCCAGGCAGAAGTCCCTCTCAGGACTCCATCCCTAGGGTGACAAACCTCTCCTTGGCCTCTACTGGAAACCCTCACCTTCTTAAACATCTCAACACGCAGCCTGTTGCTCTGGATGATGATCCTTTTCTGCTTCTCTTCTTGTTTCTTCTTAACTTCAGGTAAGTTGTCATAAATCCTGCAATGAATCCACAAAGTTAACTTTACATCCCTGGGACTGGCAAATAAGTAATTTTCCCTATAGGAAATGTTTGCCTTCAATGCAAGACTTGCCATCAATGGGCATCTCTAAGCACTTGAATTTGATTATCTCTAAACACTTGAGTTAGATTAACAAAAATGGTTCTAGGTCAAATCTGACTTGTTGAAAATCTCATTGAAATTTCCAATTCTGGAATCAAAAAGGAAAGAAGGAGGAGGGATCAGGTTATCTCCAAGCAGCAATGTAACACTGCAGTAGCTTCTAACAAGCTCAGTGGAGTTGGTTTCAATTTATAGCAACATAACTCAAACCAGAAACTGGTCTGTTCCCTTATTTTTTGTATTTATGTCACAAAATTAATACCAAGCAATCATTTTCAACCATTTTTTTTTTCTCAAATATAAGCAAACCATCATTACAAGACTGTAGACTGTTGCCATTTTTATCCTGTCATTAGGAACTCATTTTCCCAAGGAGAACACAATCTTTCCATTCTAAAAAATAACACGACTTGCCTTTAAAAATAACATGAGTTGCCTTAAAAAAAAAAAGGTGACTTCTGGTCTGATCTTTTCCCATTAAAATCAATGATAAAATTCCCAGGGGATTGCAAAGAAAGCTGGAAAACTCCTTCTCAGCAGTCCTGTTCTTTGCATGCACACAGAGCCTGGTTAGCTCTGGGTTTTCCTCATAATATTTGGCAATACTGAGCTCTGAGGCAGCCTGGTTTGGCTGGAGATTGTGTTTTGGAGAAGAGGAATGGGACCCATGTTGAGCACTCTTAAAAGCAGGATGAATTCCTCGTGGTGGCCAATTGCAGCTTCCCTTGCTGCACACCATGGCATGAAGTGCACCACAGTCCTAACACCTTGCTGTAATTCCCATACCCTGTGCCATAATAATGGCCAAAAAAACCCCAAAGTGATTTCACTGCTCTCATTTTTGAATGTCCAACATGAGGTACCTGTCGGGGATGTAGTTTTCATGCCATAGGTACCCCAGGCTGTCCCAAAGTGCTAGAAAAGAGGTGCTCAAAGGGCAGATCAGACACCACATTGCTAATACTTTGCTGTAATTCTCACACTTTGTGCCACAATCAGAGTTTAAAAATCCCCAAAGAGGCTGCACTGCTTTCAGTATTGAATGTCCAACACGAGGTACCTGTCAAGGACTTAGTTTTCCTGCCATGGGTACCCCATGCTGTCTGAAACTGCTAGAAAAGGGGTGCTCAAAGAGCAGAACTGCCCCAAATTCATCAAGCTGATACAGTGGAAGGAAACCATGAGTGAAGCCTAAACTGGAGTGATTCATACCTTTTAGATCTCATGTGCATCTCCTTCTCAGGAATGAATCTTTCCTTTGGTTTGAAGAGGTTATCTAGTGGAGAGAAAAGAAAGTTAGGATTGGAGAAATCTGCATGTAGTGGAATTTTAAATGTTATGTTCCGTGTAATCGTGATATGCTGTTTCTGGTGAAATTTGGGATGGCTTAAGATCAGATCCAAATCTCCACAGGTCAATGGAGAGACATTGAGCAAGTTCATCTGGAGCTGCATGAACCAGAAGCTTCCCTATGGGTTGGGAAGGATGGGGAAGACCCACAGCAACAACTTTCATTTACTTCACTTGCATATGGCTTTTGTCACTGGCACCTGTAGCTGTGCACATTGGTTCAGATCAAGAAACACTGATGATTTCTGCCTTAACAAGTGATCAATCTTCCTCACGTGCTCCTGCCCATGGCTGTACCCTGGCTGAGTCTCAGCTGCTGTGTTTTGGGATCCTGCCCTGCTACAATCATTCCTGATTCAATTTACACCTGTTTTGCAGGGCTGTGAGTAATTACACTGAGCATTAGGAGGAAGAAAATTGTATTACTCTTTCCTCATCAAATATTAAGAGATCTCTGATAATTCCAATTAGCATTTCCCTGGATACAGGAAAATAATTATCAACCTTAGCAGCTGGTGATTCTCAGGAATAGGTGGTCTTAACACCTTCCTGGCAAAAATGGATTCTGAGTGGGAAGGGATGGTGGTGTACAAGGTGGGGAGGCAGGAAATATGGAAGATCACTGTTGTATCTCTAGATAAAATTCATAGATCATAGAATCCTGGAATGGTTCAGGTTGGAAGGATCTTAGAGATCATCTCATTCCGCCCCCTGTCATGGGCAGGGACACCTCCCACCAGCCCAGGTGGTTCCAAGCCCCATCCAACCTGGCCTGGAACACTCCCAGGGATGGAGCAGCCACAGCTTCTCTGGGCAACCTGTGCCAGTGTCTCAGCACCTCACAGGGAGGAATTTCTTCCCACTATTCCATCTAAATCTCCTCTTAGTCAGTGTGAAGCCATTCCCTGTGTCCTGTCCCTCCAGACCCTTGTCCCAAACCCCTCTCCAGCTCTCCTGGAGCCCCTTTAGGCACTGGAAGGGGCTCTAAGGTCTCCCTGGAGCCTTCTCTTCTCCAGGCTGAACAATCCCAATTCTCTGAGCCTTTCCTCATAGGAAAGGTGTTCCATCCCTCTAATCAAAGCCAAGAGGGAACTTTGCAGCAGTTCCTGTTCCAAACTGCTGCAGTTTTCAAAGCACAAACTGAGACAGGAGAGAGGCTTTGAAGCCTCCTCTGCCTCAGGACTAACGCTTATTAAATCTTCAGTACACACCAGCAACATGCTCAATTTTCTAGGAAAATATCATTTGCCTTTTATTTATTAGTGTTTTAATGTTAATTTACATGTTGATTAACTTAAAAGGAACAAGCCCTTGGATGTTATTGCTGCCAAATAACCCTCAAAGTGAAGGGAGCAGATTGGCTGTGACCCAGATGGTCCTGGCAGAGGGCTACGGTCTAGGGGCATTGATTTTCTGGGGCCAGGGTGGATGGCAGCACACTCCAGAGCAGCCTCAGCAGCATCCCTTGCTGCTTGAGGTTGCACACCTCATTCTGGCAGCTCAGGGCTGCAGGACGTATCCCTTCCCACATGACGTCCTCTTACCTGGAAAACAGCACAGGATCAGCCTGATATCCCATAAAACCACCACTGTGGGTTCTCTGCAGCACAGGACAAAACCAGGCGGCATTTCATGCTGCACAGCAAATCGAGGCATCTTTCTGTCTGTGTGGTAACATGGTCCTCAGTACAAGATCCCTGGTGTCACAGCCACTTCCTTCTGTGTGGCCCTGGCCTTGGGGACATCTTCCACCAGCCCAAGTTGCTCCAAGCCCCATCTAACCTGGCCTGGAACACTTCCAGGGATGAGGCATGACACATTAACATTTCCAGACCTCTGTGTGTAGCCACTTGAACAGGAAAAACTAATCCAGGGATCTGCAGCCCCATGACCTAACCTGTATACAGCATGATAAGCTAATCTGTACTTTTCCTAAAACAGATTGACCTCTGTGTTTGAGTCTGGGAAGCAGCAGAGATGGTGGGAGCAGTGCAAGGTACTGTTCCTCCAGGATAATCCTCTCCTGGTGGCACAGAAACACTCTTGAAGGGCATCAGCCCTATCGCTGCCTGCAGCTCTGCCTGGAACAACGCTGTGCAGGGCTTTGCAGGGAAGGATTCAAAAGAGACTCTGGGGGAAATCCTCCAAGAAAATAATAAATCTACCTGGGTTATAAAAATGCTCTTTGTGAAGCAGCTTGGAGTCACAAGGTTAATGCTCATGGCTAAACATTCATGCAGTGTCTGTGTCACTCTCAGCTTGCTGTGTATGAGAGAGAAATCACATGCAAACATCACACAGAAATAAAGCTAATCCTTGATGGAATTTAGGATTAGAATTCAAAAGTGAAGTGAAAAATAAATAAAAAATGCGTGTAAGTGAGAAAATAAAAATCATATGTGCATTTAAATATTTGTTAATCCTCAATACTGAGAAGAAAGTGTGTTTCAAAGCAGAAGAGCAGCAAACACTCAGAGCTATAATAACCTGCCAAGCACATCATGCAGACCTGAATTAATGTTCTCTCCTACCAAGCACAGATCAAATGGGGCAGAAGGTGGACAATTCCCCAAGCTGATAGTCTTCTAAATTGCATTTTAGAAGTCCCTTATCAAAGTTCCTTATCAGATTTCATAGACTTGTGTTGCTTTAGAAGGAAACTATTGTGAGTGATAGAAAAGTGATTTCAAAGCAGATGTTCAGCACTGCCAGTGACGCACCACAGTGAAATGAAGGCGCAGACAGAGAGGCATGAAACACTTCAGTGGTGTTTTATTCCAACCTTGTGAAACTACTGAGCTTCTGGTATCTGGGCTGCATCCAAAGGAGTGTGGGCCGCAGGTCAAGGGAGGTGATTCTCCCCCTCTACTCTGCTCTGGTGAGACCCACCTGGAGTGCTGCACACAGTTCTGGTGTCCTCAACATCAGAAGGACATGGAACTGCTGGAGCAAGTCCAGAGGAGGTCACAAAGCTGATCAGAGGACTGGAGCATCTTCCCTACCAGGACAGGCTGAGAGAGTTGGGGCTGTTCAGCCTGGAGAAGAGAAGGTTGTGTGGACACCTCAGAGCAACCTGCCAGGACCTTAAAGGGCTCCAGGGAAGCTGAAGAGGGACTCTTGGTTAGGAACTGCAGTGATAGGACAAAGAGTAATGGGGATAAATTGAAAGAGGGGAATTTAGATTAAATATCAAGAAGAAGTTTTCCCTGTGAGGGTGGTGAGACACTGGCCCAGGGTGCCCAGGGAGGCTATGGCTGCCCCAACCCTGGCAGTGTTCACAGCCAGGTTGGATGAGCCTTGAGCAACCTGCTCTGGTGGGCGTTGTAGGGGGTTGGAGCTGGATCATCTCTAAGCTCCATTCCAATCCCTTAACATACTATGACTCCAACAATTTTATGACACCAACCTCATGGTCTGACATCTCCATAGTGGGAGAAAGAAGCCACTTCAGTGAGTTTTAAGTGAAGGTAAATGAGTCATTGCAGTGATATATTTTAATAAATGCTGAACTCCACCTCCAACAGGATGAGTAACTTTCTTGCTTGAAAAGTTAGTAAATGTTTAGACAGGGAACAGATGAGATTGTGTTGGAACCAACCCCTGACTTCCTATTTACCACTAAATCACTGAAACACTTAAGAAAGAAAAACAGTATCAACATCTATCAAACTATACAGAATATACACACATTTCCCCCTAACATGAATGTCAATTCTCCGATTTTGTTAGGAGCTAAAACATGTCATAGAATCATAGAATCAACCAGGTTGGAAAAGACCTCCAAGATTATTGAGTCCAATCCTACTGTGGTCACTAGACCATGGCACTAAGTGCCACACCCAGTCTCAGCTTGAAAACCTCCAGGGATGGTGAATCCACCACCTCCCTGGGCAGCACATTCCAATGCCTGAGCCCTCTCTCTGTAAAAAAAGCCCTGCCTAATACCCAACCTAACCCTCCCCTGGCAGAGCTTGAGTCTGTGCCCTCTTGTCCTGCTGCTGGTTGCCTGGGAGAAGAGACCAACCCCCACCTGACTCCAACCTCCTGTCAGGGAGTTGCAGAGGGTGCTAAGGTCTCCCCTGAGCCTCCTCTTCTCCAGGCTGAACACCCTCAGCTCCCTCAGCATCTCCTCATGGCACTTGTGCTCTAGGATGTCTTTGAGGATGTGTTTCCAGTTCCTGAAAAGCAAAGCACTGATAGTAATGGTTCCCTAATTAAACTGCTTTTTTCACTGAATAAAATAACTCAGCATAGCCCATTCACCCAGAGAACTCCTAAGACAGAAAATAGTTTTTAAACACTGGGGTTTTTTAATCCACAGGCCCCTAAAAAATAAATTAGCCTTGAAGCTAAGATAGATATCAAGAAGATGTTGAACTTAGTGTGCCCATAGAGAATATACACTAGTGCCTACACCCAGAGGTGCTGCCCAGGCTGCTGCACACCCTGTGTCCATGACTTCATGCAATGAGTTCCTTCAGCTGCAGTCAACAGATGAGGGTTTGGTATTATTTATAGCAAACTGCACTAACCCATTAGTTAAAGGGTTGAGGGTAAGACTGCCTCGACTTCTGCTCATCTCAGAGACATGCTGAAGCTCCCACGTGCTCCCTCCCCCAAGAGGACCCACAGGAAGGTGGTGCACAGGTTCTCCACTCACAGGTTCTCCAGCTGTTTGGGTCTGTCCTACACTGTGGCTATTGAGACTTCTGATCCTCCTTAGTATCTCAGTCTTAACAATGGAAACATCTCTAGTACCTCTAAGGAAGCTGCAAAGTTGAGAGGTTTGATATTCTTGGATTTTATCCTGAAAAAAAAAGTGAAAAGCATCACACCTGACCTTCCTAAATCTTTCATTAGAGCATATAGTCTTTAAAAGCATATTTTTCCCCCTAAAAAAATAAGAGTTAATGAAGAAGATATGAC